ATTTCCGTCATGAACAATATTCATATATGTATGCTTTTATAAGTGTATACGTATTGTATGATATTTAAAATATATGTGAATATTTGCATCTGCAATTGCATGGAAAGAAACTGCATTTTTATTAACTTTCAAATTTGATGATTCTGTTATGTTACTAGCAATGGCATTCAAATATGATTTTTATAATTTATATAAAAACATATGTTGTGTTGTTAAATTAGGTTGTTACTGTTAACTTAATTATACTCTATAAGGTTTTTTTTATGTTAATGTTAATAATTAACATACAATATGTTATACCATTTTGAGTGCTGGTTTTTTAAATTCAAATTTTATACACAAAAAGATATTTATTTATTTTAAATAACTCATAAAATTTTTTTTATTTATTAATTAGTATTTTTTCTTATAATTAGCACTTCCTTCTCATTATCTCAGTTCAGTATATTTATTATATTAATCATGTTATATTACATACATTATTATTATTATTATTATTATTATTATTATTATTATTATTATTATTATTATCAATGTATGTATTTATAACGCTTTAATGAAAAATATTCTACACTTATTACATTATTCACACTTATCTACATTATTCACACTTATCTACATTATTCTGCACTATAATAATACATAATTCTATCATAATGTAATATGAGGCATTTATAATCATTTATAATCATTTATAGTATAAGCCATTTATAATCATTTATAGTATAAGTTATGATAAGTTAGAATAATTAAAGGCTCTGATAAAGTCGATAAAGTTTAGTGGTTGACTAATACTTTATCACTATTCGCGTTGTATGTATATATATGAAATGTCGATATAAAAAATTTATTGTCATTTAATAAGGCTTATAGTGTAAATTTTTCTGCTTTTGGGATGCAAGTTGAGGAGAATCGAGATATTATGAAACGCTCGATACATAGAAGATAGAATCTGCGAATCGAAGAAGTGACATCTCTGAATCCGCGGTTCTCTATTGATATCCTTTTACGGGATTGATATTCTCTCCGATGGCGTTGCAGGGTGATCTTTCCTTCTTCCGTTACGAGATCACGTGAGAAAGTGCATCGTATGCATTATGCATCGCGGCAGCGAACGAACGGACATCGTTTGAAAATCTCTCAACGTGAACCACATTATGTTCCAAAAACTAGATAAAATTGTATTATTCGAAATTATATAAAAAATTATATAAAACTACATTGTAGAATTTTGATAGCATTATTATGATTATAATTTTATCATTAATTTATACTTTATTACGATATATAAAATAAAACATTTTTTATAGAAAGAGAGAAAGAAAGAGAGAGAGAGAATACCTCATTTTATATAAATTATATTATTTATGACATGTAACATATATATATATATATATATATATATATATATATTGATTTATAATAGTTATTATTATTTATTAATTTAAGTGTAAAAATAAGTAAATTATTAATTCGTATTTATATTAACGAATTACGTTCGAGAGATATCGTATATATGCAATCTCGCTCGCTTTCGTTCTCAATATGCACGCGATCGCTAATGCAATTTCACGGGCGTATACATGTGCAATAACGAAGGCTTAGGTCAGCCTTTCATGTGTACATGCTGCGACTGATTACGTCTTGTCCACACGCGATTCGTATTAATTTGGTTTGCCGCTTATATATTTTTGCATACCTTATCGTTCGCATTTCTATTTCTAATTGTATTTTCAGTTCTAATGCACATCTCGAGCGTAGAAGTAAAGAGCAAACGGAGAATTTTGTTATTATTATTTAATTATATATTTATTATTATTATTATTTAATTATGTAGTTATTCTTCTTCTGTTTTTTTATATTATTTCAAAATAGGCAGAAGGAGAAAGAAGGTGAAATCTAAAAATCCAAAGATTTATGGATTATGGATTTAGGAAGCTGGAGAGAAAGATCTAAGTATGTATCCATGAATCCAATAATACTATCAGTAGACACCTCTCGTTTCTGGGCTAATTTCGGGATCGCTACGCGTTATACATGAGAACCAGACTTAAGACTTAGTCTCGACGGAGTTCTCGACATCGACATCGAGATAGGAATAGGATGGCAGAATGAGAAGAGACGGTGGAGAGGAAGAAGTCGCGGATTAGTTTCGCTCGCACGTGTGTTCACCGAGAACTCAATCTAGAGATTCGGTTTGTAGCTCGAGAGACAGAACGACGTTGCAACGATGTCGTTGTCGACGTAGACGACGTCCCGAAAGAGAGAGAATACTCTAATCATGAAATCCTTAATCAGTCATCACGTTTGTCTGTGACATTAGAAGATTTTCAAAGCTTCAAGTTTAATAATTTGTTAATTAGAGAAAAAATAACTAGTCGAAATAATTAGTCGAAAATTTTAAATAATAAACTCAAATATTTCTCTCTCTCCCTCCCTCTCTCTCTCTCTCTCTCTCCCTCTCTCCCCCTCCTTCTATCTATCTATCCATCTATCTATCTATCTATCCATCTATCTATCTATCTATCTATCTATCTATCTATCTATTTCTCTATCTATCTATCTATCTATCTATTTAGCTATCTATCTATCTACCTCTCTTCCTCGCGACGATGAAAAATCCGTGTCTGGAAGTATCACATCAAGTTTTCGTCTTCAAGAAAGATGAAGAAGCATCATAGCAGAATCCTTGTAGCATACTAACTACCCAGGATATATATCTATCTTATTTTTAGGATGTTATCTAAATTTAAATGATTTTTGAATTTTAATACAAAAGAAAATAATTGTAAATATATTAAAGTAAAATATATTAAAGTTGAAACAAAGAGAATTCTTAAAAATAATAAAATTGATTTAATTACTATTAATTTGATTTCACAGTATGATTAAAAATTAAAAACAAAATAATTAACTATAAAATAAATTGATATCTGATAAAAACAATAAAATAAATAAATCGAAATCGTATTAAATAAAATTAATATACCATTAATTAAGTCAAAATTAAAATAAAAATATATTCTTTTAATTATAAATCTATTTGCATATTTTTTCCAGAACATTCGATAAAAAAATCGAAAAATTGAAACGTAGCTGAAAGTTCCAGCAACTCGACGATATAATGATTTATTTAGCGAAAGTGGTAGATTTTTATTGGAAACACGTCGTAACTGGATATCGACAAGTGTTCAGATTTTAGATTGGAGGTGAAAATAGGATTGGGGGTAGAGGGATGGCAACGAAAAGGCCATGAGATGAATTTTAATAAAAGACTGCCGATATGCTGGCAATAAATTAATCGATTTGAGTTTGATACCGTCGAAAGTTTTTCCTACAAAAAGAATTTAATAATCAATTTTGCAAAGTAATTATTTATAATTTAATATTAATAATATTCAAAATTAATATTTAATAATTTAAAAATTTTATAAAAGTTTATACATAATTATATATAATATTAAATTTTTTAATTATATTTTTTATATTTCGCATTATTATACATTAATTTTTTATTATATTATTAATCAATTTTTTATACATTGATTTTTTCTATTGAGAGATTTGCTGCATTTAAAAATAAAAACAACATCATAGGAAAGCGTGTCACGAATATATATAGAAATAGAAAGATAGCTAAAACGATATCTTTTCATGTGAATAAGGGTCTCTTCACCTTTAAGACATAAAATGAAGGTCAAAGACCACTGTCATCGTGAACGCCATTCCATGCATTTTAAAACAGTCAAATGACATTTACAAATTTTCAGAAATTCAAAAATTTTTCGTCTTTTCCACTCATGAGATATGAAAAGAAAAATATTATATTTTTATATAATATATTTTTTATAATATATATATTAATTTTCTATTATAAATATATAAAAATATATCTGTGTAATATATGTAATCTCTCTATTATATATATATATATATATATATATAATTTATTCAATTATATGTTTAATTATCAATATTTCTAAAGCAAAACATAAATGCTCTAAGAAAAAAGTTTATTTTTATTTTAATCAAAATTCAAGTGTTAAATTTGGTAGTTTGAATTATATTATATTATATATATATATATATATATATATATATATATATAATATATAATATAAAGTTTACTCTATAATATAAAGTTTCAAACATTTCTAAGGATATCTCTAAAACAATTTTTTTTTGTTTTGTTTTAATGTGATATTTAAATTTTAAATGTAACGATTTGAAACGTAAATATCTTGCATACATGTGTGTAAATAGTATTAATATACATATATAAATGTATATGGATGTACGCAAATGATACTCCTATTTGTAAATGATAATATCTATGACACAGTGTAGTTAAAATAAAATTTAAAAATTATTTTTTCTTTTCTAAAAGTTTCTCAAACATTTAAGAAAACTTAAAAAAAATTTTAGAAATTTATATTTTCTGACACTAAAAGTTCTTAAGAACGCTAACCTTGTAAATTATAGAAAATATGTACAAAGCAATTTTTGTATTTCAAATATTTACGTCATATTTATATTTATGCATTCATAATATTATCTACACACTTTACTTTACCGTTTCTTATCTTTTTCTTTTATCTTGTCACATCGAGAAAAAATGGCAACGGGAATTGCATTTTTATCGTTTGTCCTCGTTCATACAGAAATATTTGCTGAGAATGCCATGTTTTTTAGAATTGATATCTGCATCGATTGGCATTCAAGCTTTTTTCACAACGAAATGTTATTGCCAATTCACTGTTAAAATGATGCGATCGATAATAAATTGTCGAGAATAAAAGAATTTATTTTTCTTTCAAAAATCACTCATCAAATTTATATTTTAGAAAAATAAAGTTATAAAAGAGCGTTTCTAAGAAATTATTAAGAAGCATTATATAATGACAAAAAATCAAATTGATTTTTAAATATGATACATTATATACATTTTTTTATGTTAAGAATATATTGAATATATGAACACAAATATTTTTTTATCGTAGAAAAAACGGAACAGTCTTGGAGAAATTTCATCTACAGATTTCAAGATTGGAGTTATATCCTAAGAATTCAAAATACGTGGATCAGTTGCTCCACGAGATGGCGACTAAACCGATTCTTCATGTCGGTGAGTATGATGATATAATAATATAATAATATAATAATATAATTAATATTATATAAATAATATAATTTATATAAATAATATTTATATAAATAATATAATAATATAATATAATATAATAATATAATTATTAATTAATGGTAAAATTTATAATTCTTAAATATTTTCCATAAAGCATCATTTTGTAATTCTTCCGGTTTAAAATTATTTTCTATATCTACATTCTATACTTTCAAATATTATTTACTGTGTGTTATTTAAGTTCAAAGATTACTTGTTATTTTGCATTTTTTTTTCTAGTTTTGGTTATATTATCTGAATATTTCATTATTTTTATATTATTATTAAGTTCATTGTAAAGTATATATTTTATTATTTTTATTCATATTAGTTAAAATTTAAATAAAAGTAAAAAAAAGGCGCCATATACACGCGCCATATACAAAATAGTATTAAAATAGTATTAATAATAGTATTAGTAATAGTATTTAAAATTAAAAACTCTTATCATAAAATATTATATAAAAAATTATTATGTCGGCAAAACAGTATTATGTTAAATTGTAAATAAATCTCTACATTAAATAAAGTTGTGTAAAATACTTTTAATTTCCTATAAAAAAAAGTGATATAAAAATTGTATAATGCGCTAACTAAGAATAATATCGTATTATTTCCTACGCGCGAATTGATCGCAAATTATGATTTTTAATTGCTAAATGGAATTTATTCTTTATATTAATGTGAAAAAACACTTAACATTTATTATATCGTACGCAACAGTGAAGTTATAAAATAAAACTAAATTAATACTTAATAATAAATTAATATTAATCTAAATTATACAAAGCAATATCTAAATTAATTCATATTTCAAATAATATTAATAATACTAGTAATATTAATAATATTTCAAAAAATAATTATTACCCTCAATTTTATTATTAAAACAAATTTCATAAAATAAAATATTTTATAAAATATTTAATAAACAAATTAAACAAATATTTAATTATAAAGTTTTTGAAGAATTTGTTTTTGATAAAACCTACATATAAAATATCGTAAAATGAAAGAAAAAATATTTAATTCTTATATAAATAATCTAAAGAATGTATGTATGTATATGTATGCATATTGTATATATATATATATATATATATATATATATATATATAATGTATGTATATTTAAGAGTATTAGAAACATTTTGTGTGACTGTGTGTTTCTGTTTAAATTATGTAACTTTAGATTGGTCGATTCGTGTTAGCTAATTATAAATCGTCCTGATGGCATATACCTAATTGTAGAATCACGAATAGTCGCGAATTTGCGTTTGTTATTAACACACTATTGAAGCGACATATCAGGATAAACCTGGTTCTATTTTCCGCCAAATATATCGATCTTGCGATACCTATGTCAATTTCTTGAATATTGTATACTTTTAATTCGGACTGCAGACGAACGTTCGGAACGCAGACGATGGACATTTTATTATTTGGCCACGATGATTTATTATTGTTTGATGAATTATCGATTCATATTATTTGATAGTGATGCAGGACTTAAATAAATCGCTTAATCTAATCTTTTAATCTAATCTAATCATGCTATATTAAAAATGCTTAAATATTTCAAAATATTTTTTAATTAAAAACGTGTGGAAAAATATTGATATTTATAAATTATTGAATGAGATTTAATGTATTTCCCCATTTTTTATAGAGAACAGAATTATATTTGCATATAATATATGTGTTTTTATGTATTTCAACATATAACCAATAATAATTATATATTAAATATGTTAGAGGATACATTTGATATGTTGAGAGAGAGAGGGGGGGGAGAGAGGGAGAGAGGGGGAGAGAGAGAGAGAAGAAAAAGACAGAGGAAGATAGGGAAATATTATACCATTTGTATAGAATTTTATAATTTGTATGGAAAGAAGTTTTACTTTTTAATTAAGTCGAATATTTTGTAATGTAAAGATTTATCGGTTAATTTGTTACAGTTCAGAAGGATGGTGGAACGCAATTAAAATTAGCCATTGATTATGGTGATAACATGCAAGCATTATTTAAACCGATGCGGTAAGTATATTATTAATATTTGTATAAGAATATAAATTTTACTATTTTATGATATTTTATTTTTATATCCTCTTTATATAAAATATCATTACAATATACGTAAATCACAAATATCCATATATGTATATATGTGTATATATATATATATATATATATATATATATATAAATATATTTTTATTTATTCATATATATATATATATATATATATATATGAATAAATAAGAATATATTTAAAAGTCACAATAAAAAGGATTAATGCGTATATAAAACACGTACACACACACACACGCACGCATATATTGTGCACATAATGCAAGCGCATGCACGCAAGTGGATGTGTATACATGTTGTAACATTAGTAATTATTATTATGCCTACCTACACACATATATTTATATTTATATTCAAATTAAATACATGTATCAAAAACGTAATATATATCAAATATAAATATAAAATCATGTGCATAAATATAAATATAAAATAATCATGTGCATATGCTGTATAAGCAAATGGCGCTAATTAGTGGTAATCATGTGCTAATTACGAGGAAGAGGTCACTTTTGATGACTTTTGGAAGTAAAGACCATGAACCACTGTGAACGTCGCAAAGTTTTTCGTATATCTTGGAGTCGCAGGCAGGCAAGGTATGAAATTACTTCGGCAATTTGTCGGGGCTCAATGGATGTCGTGCTACTATGGAACATCGTTCCAATAGTGTCTACATTAATGCCAAATGTAGACGAAATGAAAATTCTAAAATATTTGTGACATCGTTTTGATCTTTCAAAAATCAAGATTGATAAGTTACGATTTATGAACGTATTAAATATATAATCATTTCTCTTGTCTTACATGAGAAAAATTATTTTTGTATCAACAAGATATAATATATAATAGAAGACATTTTGGTTAAACCAAGCAATTTTTAGTTATCACGATAAGACTCGATTTTTTACAACTAGAATGTTTAATAGGCTTTAATATAAGGATTTGATTATTTTCTAATTGGAATCTATAAAACTTCTTGTTATATTAGAACGTTTAAAAAATATTTACTATAAACATTTGGTTAATATTTTCTAGTTGGATTTATAAAACTTCTTGTTATATTAACTAACATGGACACAGTGATGCTATTTTTTTAAAATTTACTATTATTATCAAGAAAATTTGATAAATTTAACAGAAAGAAACTAATCATATTTATCTAATAATTCCTAAAGGAATTCTGATTTGTCCATTTTCCAAAAGACATATTGATTGAATCTACCAGATAACTAGTTAATGCAACCAGATTTTTTCTCAATGTAGTTTTTCATTGACAATATATTATGCAGATTAAATTACGAGCACAATTATGTCAATCTCTAGCGCAACCCTCATACTGTGAGAGAAATACTTTCAAGCAACTTCACAGTCTTTTCGTCATCCCTTTTTTCACTAGTCTTCTTTTCTTTTCATACCGTTTCTCTCGTAAATGATACGTCACATACTCTATTGTTTCCGAACATACGTGTCTTTTTGCCTCATCTTACCTTACCTTGTTAAATGCGGCGAATTCAATTGGAATTTAATTGATATTTCATTCCGACCATTTTTATTTTAAATTTTATAATGATTCTATTAATAAATAAGTAAATATTATTTCTAATATATCTTTAAATCAAATAATTTTGTCAATGTTTTTTAAATCGGTATTTACATAAATAAAATAATATTAATGCACATAAAGAAATATACACTATAGTATATATATATATATATATATATATATATATATATATATACTATAAAATTATATATAATGTAAAATGTAGAATATAATAATTCTTTAAGCAATTTAAATATGTGCATGTGTCGCGTGTGCATATATACATGTGCCACAATAGAATTTTTTTTAGATCATCAGGAGACAAGTAGCGATAGTGCAATATCCAGAAAGACCGAGAAAAATTTTCGGACAAATCTGATATTACGACTCTATTTCTGTTCCGCTTCCTTCTTACCATCATCTCTTTCTCTCTTTCTCTCAATGATCCACACGAGTCCAGAACCCTTTAAACTTCCAGTGGGCCGAAGATTCCACGATAAGTGGCCGCCGCTCGCGCGCGGCTTAAACTCCAGTAATAAGTTCGCCAATAAGTTCCTCCGAAAGTTTGCGACCTCGCGAGAGAGCAGTAGCGAGAATTTTGGGGCCGCAGCTCGGCCGCAATAAGCTCTCGTTACTCGCTCGGACAAAATTTACTCTGTCTAAAGAAAGAATAAAAACATTTTCTCTTTACGACATATGTGTGTGTGTGTATGTGTATATGTATGTACATACACACACACATACACACACATATACGATTTATCTATTTTAAGATTTATATGTTTTATATATAATGTAATAATGTTATTGAGTTGGAATGTCAGATTTCAAAAGTAACAGCTTTATGAAATACTTATGAAGCAATGACCCATATTTTACGGAACAATAGAGTCCAGGTTTTAAGTTCTTGTATAACATTTATAATCTAATCTTCAGAATTTAGAAGTTAAAGATAGAGTTCTTTAATATACATAGAAACGAATATTGAATTAATTATTCGGATGACTCGATTTTTGCGATTAGATTTTTTTTCTTATTTTCTAAGATCGATCACATTTCACTTATGTATGTGTGTGTTTTGTGTACGTGTTTATTGTCCTATCTCATGTGTATACATATGTATATACACGTATAACGCGCGGCTCGTAAGCCCGCACTAAGATCATCGAGTAAATATTTGATCGTGCTCGACTTTGCGGAACTTCTCAAGCTCTCTCTCTCTCTCTTTCTCTCTCTCTCTCTCTCTCTCCCCCTTCTCTTCTTCTTCTTCTCCTTCCTTCCTTTTTCTCGTCCTTTTCCCTTCCTGCTCATCTCAAAAGAAATCCTCAAGAGAAACTCGGGGACCAATAAAAGCCCGAGCTTTCGCATTGTCCCTTCGCTGCACTTCCCCGACGAATAATTTTGATTTTTCTTTATCATATGATGCGTTCCGCACGACTGCATGCTGCACAATTTGAAATTTATCATCGTAGGATGATTTAATAAAATAGTTTACTGACTAGATATGTAAATATATATAGATAAAATATTACAAAAAGCCGTTTTATTATGAAGAAGCCGTTTCTATTTTCGTGGATGGTATTCATTTATTTATTATGTAACAGCCTTTTTTTTTTGTTAATTTCAATGTACAATCCTACATATAATTTTGGTAATGTCCTTATTTAGCTATGTATCCAATGTCGGATAGTATGAAATGATTATCAAATAACGAGCGATTGATAATGAACATGGATTTATAACAATTGAATATTATACATGTGAATATGTGAATATATGTATATACATATGTGTGTGTGTGTGTGTGTGTGTGTGTGTACACATACACATACGCGCGCGTGTGTATGTAGTTGAATTATATTAATTTATCTGCTAAATAAATAATTATGATGTATAAAGTGTACTACAAGTGATTAATATGAATGGTATATAATTATGAAATAAATAAATCCTTTTACCATATTTAAAGGAAAAATCAAAAGAAAAAGAGAGATATCTTTTATATTTTGTTTTCAATATAATTTTTAATATAAATTTTTTAATGAAATCTTATATAAAATCTTTTATAAAAAAAGTTATTTTGTTAATATAAAATTAAATAGTTTTGTAATTGTTTATTTTGTATAAAATTTAAGAGATGGCAATCTAATAAATAGAATAATATACATACATACTATTATACTATACGTATAATTGACATGATTATTGAGTTATGCAATATACGAGCGTTTACAAAGTCACGCGACAGATATCGATCGATTGATGCCGCAATTCGCTGTAATCTTCTACAATATAGCAATTTCGGGTAATCTCTACAATATTACGCACGCGAATTTCTTCCAAACAAGTTCATATCTTTGTCGATTACATAAGATATTCCAAAACCATTTTGCTTTTTTATTTATCTCAAAGCCATAACTAATATGTTAACAAAAATTTTAATTTAAAAATTTGTTTTTTATATTTTTTAAAATTATATTTACTCCTTTTTTGTCAAAAATCAAAGAAAAATTATAAATTCTAATCTTCCATTCCAAATTCTGTTTTTTTTTAGTTTATTTTTAATATAACAATAATCAAATCATTATCATGCAGATTTCCGCGAGAGCAACAGACTTTGCCGAATCACTTCTACTTCACAGACTTCGAACGACATACTGCTGAAATCGCTTCCTTTCATCTAGACAGGTAAAATTACATATTTACTTTTTTTAATTTGTAGAAATATATGTATTCAGCTCAAAATATTGATTTTATATGAGAAAAAGAAAAACTAAGAATGTAAAATTAATTGTTCATAAAAGTATTAAATAGAAGCACAGCATATATATTTAAAAAAATTCAAAGATATAATTTACAATATAAATCAATTATATTAAATTATGAATGTAATAAATATTATTTAAAAATTTATTTTTTCAATTTTTATTTTAAAAAAATTCAGATAAATCAAAGTTAGACAAAGCTATAAATGTTTCTTTTATCCTTGTCGGAGGATAATATTTAGAAAAATAAATCTTATTTTCAGGATGAAAGATTGGAGAGACAATATAATATTTATAAAATTTTTTTCACATTTTAAGATGGAAGATTTCGATTTTAAAAGCTTTGCGAATAATTTAATTTAATTTAACATTAATAATTTTGTTTTTAAATGCAGAAAAAGAAATGTATTTTTTTATTTACAGGCTTTTGGGGTTCCACAGAGCGATGCCAGTAAGCGGTCGAACTCTTAATATCACAACAGAAATTTATCAGATTGCCGACGGCGAGCTGCTCAAAACGTTCTTTGTAAGTCCAGCTGGCAATCTGTGCTTCCATGGCAAATGCAGTTACTATTGTGATACCGCACACGCGGTTTGCGGTAGTCCTGACACCCTGGAGGGCAGCTTTGCTGCTTTTCTGCCCGACAAAGCCTTCGCTGCCAGGAAAGCCTGGCGACACCCTTGGCGCAGGAGTTATCACAAGCGGAAGAAGGCCCAATGGGAAGACGGTAAGGCACCAAGCATATATGTTTTATTTCTTTAAGAATTGTGTTCTAAGCATTTAAAAATTTTAAAAGATAAAATCTTTTAACTCTGTATCATCTCTTATATCTAAAGCAAATGTCTTACTTTTTCGCAGCATTTTACTTGATTATTCATTATTATTTATTTTTTTAACATCTTTTTTTATTACTTTTTTATGTTATTATCATATATTCTTAATATCGCCAATGACATAAAGATTATTAAATCGTTGCGTCATCAGCGATAAGATCAATTATTATTATGATTTATTAATATTAATTAATACATGTACTTATTTGGGCATAAAACATTCGCACGTCTATTTATTAATTCTCTTCGGGGGCAAGTTTTTATAAACATATTTTTTTTCGTTATACCGCAATGATATGTATATCTCACACACTGAGAAAAATCTGGTTGCATTAATTAGACATCTGATAGATTCAATCAGTATGTATATTGGAAAATGGACGAATTAGAATTTCTTTAGGAATTATCAGATAAGTACGATTAATTTCTTTTCGTTAAATTTATCAAATTTTCTTGATAATATTACTAAATTTTAAAAAAATAGCATCACTGTGTCCATGTTAGTTAATATAACAAGAAGTTTTATAAATCCAACTAGAAAATACTAACCAAATGTTTATAGTAAATATTTTTTAAACGTTCTAATTGTAAAAAATCGAAACGCGATAACTAGAAATTCTACTTGTTTAACCAAAATGCCTTTAGTTCATATATATTTTGTTGATATAAACGATTTTTCTCAGTACAAAGGTTTGTAATTTTACATATATATATATATATATATATATATATATATATATAAAAGTATGTATTTATATATATATACATACATGCATACAAATACATACACACATAATATTCGTTGTGTATTAAATTTATAAATAAAACTCTTTTTTTTACAAAATTACAGATTCCGACTATTGCTCCCTGGTAAAAGAAATCTCACCATATGACGAAGGTCGAAGATTGCTTGATTTAATGGACATGGCCGTCTTTGACTTTTTAACAGGCAATATGGATCGCCATCATTACGAGACATTTAGGATTTTTGGAAATGATAGTTTCACGTTGCATCTGGACCACGGAAGAGGTTTTGGAAAACCCTTTCATGATGAAACGTCTATTTTGGCACCTCTCTTACAATGCTGTATAATTAGACAGACAACTTTAAGTACTCTACTCCGGTAAGTCAAATGTTTTTATTATTTTTACTATAACATTATAATACCGCAATATTTGATGCTGTAGTATTGCAATACTTGATAATAATACGCTATAATAAATAGTATATAATTTGTGCGAAAATTATTTTAATTTTAGAGAGATTTTGGTATTTTCCAAAATGTTAAATCTCTGTTTTTCGTTTTCGCTAGAAATTATATCATAATTATAATTACATATAGTAAATATGAAATATATGTGTATAGTAAATATGATATATATGTGTGTATGTGTGTATTTCATACACATAATATTCGTTGACCAGAAAGAGTTAATCCGAATAAATACGTATTATTTTATAATGATACTTCTATAAATTTTATACTTAATATATACTATATATATAGATATATATTTATATATATAGTATATATTAAGTATAAAATTTATAGAATTATTATTATAAAATAATATGTATTTATTCAGATTAACTCTTTCTAGTCTCCTTCATAACAATATTAAATGTTTCATTAATCATTGAGAAACGATTATTAAATTTATCGAATTTACAAAATATAATCGTGTAGTAATCACTTCGATAACACAATTCAATATTTAAAATGTCGTGTGTGCGTGTGTGTGTGTTCGGTAAATAAGTGGATAGAGAGGAGAGGAAGGGATATATTTCATGACTATAGAGTAACTAGATAATATCGATAATACAGAAGCAAACAATTTGATTGGAAGCGTTTTAATCTATACCCTAGTGTTAATCTCGCGTTTGACATTATTTATCGGTTTTCCATTTTCGATACTTTGCGCGTCCGCAAAATTCAGGCGGCTGAACGAATTTATCGCACGGCTCGTAAAAACGCGAATTTGCATCAAAGCGAAGATTCACGACCATGCTCTGACAATTCTGATAAAACACAGTCCCAGATTGGCCTTATCGCCAAGTTTTTGCCGATTTCTTTTTTTTCGATAGGATTGAATTCATGGCATCGAATCTACTGTCGACTATTCTGAATTGGAAATTTGGTCGATCGACAGACACCGTCTATCATGTGCGATTCAAGAATCGAGGACTTAAAATAATTGCTCTTATATTTCTATATATCGTATGTGTGTCAAATTTCGATTTTTTTAGAGCAAAATAAAATGTGGAAAATATAAATTCTCTTTAAAAAAATATATTATTGTACTATATTCATGTACTTCTCTAATTTTCATACACACACACGCACGCACGCACGCACGCACGCACGCACGCGCGCGCGCACACACACACACACACGCACACACATACAGGGTGTTTCATTTTAATCGTCTCAGGCAAATATTTCGAAAAATATGAGATACGGAAAAACGTTTTAGAAAAAAGTTGTTTGGTTCGACGGGGGACATAAATGGTATCATAGGTTTGACCTTGAGTGAACGTGTCAGGATCATACGAAGTTCTTGGTTTTTTTAAATGTAATTCCTTATTTTTCATTGCATATTCTTGTTATTTTGAGATCTTTCCAAAACACTATAATTAAGTTATTTTTCATTAAGTACTTTTCGAGTTATGAGGCTTGAAATAATTTCTTAATTTTACATAAAATATCTAGTAAAATATTCATTTTTTGATTACCTATTACTTTTATGCACAAAATAATGTGAGGAATCAATTGGTATAAAGAAAAACATAGTTGTTTTTTGAGAAAAAATATGTAATTGTTAATTGCAAATTACTTTTTTTTTTCGAACCAAACAATTTTTGTCTGAAACGTTTTTCCGTATCTTTTATATTTTTCGAAATATTTGCCTGGGGCTTCTTTGATCATTTTGTTTATATTATACGTGTTAAACTATCTGCTAATACTGCTATTGACTCCTTCCCAGCATCAGCTATATTATTCAATACATAAATATTTATTTAAAAAAATATATTTAATAAAAAATTTGAAATTTTTTAGATTTAAAATATGTTAAAATTTTTTATATTTAGGATTAAAATATATTAAAATATTTTATATTTATGTTACACAATAAATAAACTATTTTAAAATTATATTTATATACAAATATTTTAATTTTACCTGATATTTTGAACATAAATATCTGGAAAATCATAGAATTCTCGGAGAATTTATTTACAAGATTTGGGTATATACTCTGTTATTAATGTGTTAATATGTACATTAACAACAAGATATGTACTCAATACATTCTGTTATTTATACGTATATTTTTTAATTATCATATAAATAAAACTAATTTTTATCTCTTATCATTTATCTACAATGTATTAAAAATCATTATGTTATTCTTTCTGTTAACAAAAATAATTATTATATTATAATAATAATTATCCGAGACTAATTAACCAAGAAAGAGAGAGAGAGAGAGAGAGAGAGAGAGAGAGAGAGAGAGAGAGAAATTATGTATGTAAAGATTCTACAAATTATAAAAAAATTATAACATAAATGATTAATAAAGAAATAAAAATATGTGATAAACAGGATTTTTAATAGTTTCTACTTAAAATATACAAATATACAAATATATTTTAACATAAATCTTAACTATCCACTTGTAAAAAACAAATAGAAACACACACACAAATATATAATAGAATTAAAGAAACCTACACGTCTATTGAACGCGTTATTACAGAATAATTGCTTTTCCTACTGCACTGTTTCGTTGATTGTGACTTCTTCTGTTAGTTTATTTTCTACATTTTGCACGATGACCGATCGCCCGATCGACTAACGTAATTACGATAACAATGAAGCGAAATTACTTGCTTCGCCATCTATTAAACAATTGTACATTTTTAAAACGATAAAAATACAAAAGCAAGTATTTAGATCAATAATAGGCTGTTAGACTAAATTAGCAAATCGCGCTAATATGATTGAAAATAATTTTCCAATATGTAATTAAAAATTTCTTAAGAAAATAATATTGAGTCCGAAGGTTTTCCGGATTGATAATAGCCTCGAGACGCTTTTCAGAGCGAACGTGGGTTTTTAGATCAACAACCAGACGGTCGGAAGCTTTCAGAACGATAATGGAAGCCTCCTGGAAGGGTTGGTGGGACTGCCAATGAATAAAGTATCGGCTTGAGCAGACACTCGACTTGGGCTCTATTTATACGAGGTGACACACACACACACATACGCGCGCGTGCGCATATACGCACACAACGTGGCACGTCACGTTGGATAAAAGTAGACTCTCTCAAAGTACTTTGCTTTGCCACTGGCTGGCTACTCACCGGGGAGTCCTTGGAGGACTTTCTTTTAGGATTAAGGAGGAAGGATGAGCTTCGAGATCGAATAGCCTTTTCATCCCGAGACTTTTGTTTACCTGGTTGCTTTCATTGTCAATGCGAGTTTACGTGCGTGTATAAAATTGATCTTATTTTATTTTATTCTTAATTATAAAAACAAATGATACTAAAAATTAAAAAATTGAGATAAATGGTGTCATACTTTATAGCTTCTAACAATAAGTACGTTCCTTTGATCAATTTAAATAGATTTATCTTTAGCAAAAATAATGAACAATTACAATGATATAATAAATAATAATTTTTTAATTATAGGAAAGTATGAAAGATTATTTGAATCGATTAAAAAAACTTTTTATAAACTAAACTTTTTGCAACTTTACATATTAAACTTCACAAACAATAAAGTACTTTACAATTTGCACGATTTAGTTTTAATTTAATATAATTTAGATTTTTGTTAGTAATTGAGTAATTATTTTTCTTTAAATACAAAAATGTTTTTAATCTATTTCATGTAATGTATATAATTTTCCATATATATATATATATATATATATATATATATATATAATATTTTAATCAAACAGACAAATTATACATTCTTCATTTAATTGAAAAAATTTAGTTGATTAGAACTTTAATTTGAAGCTTATTCTTAATTATAAAAACATATGATACTAAAAATTAAAAAATGAGATAAATGATGATTTTGTTTGATATTTTCTTTAGAAAAAATCGATTTCACAAGAAAGTAATAAACGAAGTAATATAATTTTCTATCATTAAAAGATATGCACTATACTTTATATACATATATATCCGCTTTCATATGCATACATACATACATATGAAAGATTTATGAACTTATCTCTCATGGTCTAAATATATCTTTCGATACAATAATAATCGCTTTAATTAATCTATTGTAGCAATTTATCGATGATCACATGATATACTTGTAATGTTTGATTATAATTACAATTGATGCAAAACACGCAGAATATATTATATATTGTGCAAAAATATATGTGCAAATATATACCCCTATATATATAGACAAAATTAATACGACGCGTAATTTTTTCTTACTTTTTCTTTAAAAGCTAATATTTAAATTTTAAAGAAAAAGTAAAAAAAATTATGCATTAATTTTGTCCAGGAGTATATTTCCTTAAAAAAATGTTATTAAAATACGGACGGTCAATTACAATTAAATTGAAAGTTAAAAATACGAAATACATAAATAATTAGAACTGCATAAATTGATTAACATGCTAACACCATTTATTCCACATTTCCAACACGTCATTTCCAACGCGTTCTCGTTCGATATGAAAATTCAAAATGCCAATGCTATAATGGCAAATACGAACGGTGGCTTTATACGTAATAATAAATACAGTAAACAAACACGCGTGAATCAACCCGCTCCCATTGCTATTGATCTCGCTCAGTGTTTCGCAGCAGGATATTACTGTTGAATCTCACTCACAATGCACAGTGGAGGTTAAATGATTCAAATCAATTCATTAGAACAACACAATTATTAACTATTAATATCAAAAAGTATTAATACTTATATGAGATAATTAATACATATGCAAATATCAACTACAAATTTAAATTTGACACCGATACACACACACACACACACACACACACACACATAATTTTATATAATATTATTTACAATTTTTTATAAAATATCATTCAAATTTTTTTTATTATTATTTAATATAATCATTAAAAATTTTATATACAGACATTATATATTATATATGTATATATTGTATATTGTATGTCTGTGTGTACATACACAGGTACACATATATATGCGCGTGCACGCACACGCAAATACATAAAACTTTATTAACACAAAATTTTATTATAATTTTTAATTTTGATTACAGCTTTCACAACGGGCCTATACGGCTTAGCGCCGCTATGCGGCAGAGCATGGCGAAAGATCCCGTAGCTCCTGTTTTATGGGAACCCCATCTAAACGCATTGGACCGACGAATAGGTATTGTCCTGCAAGCTGTTCGCGATTGCATTGCCCGTGAAAACTCTTCGCAACAGGTTATTCGTGATGACAAAATCGACTCGAAATTATAGTCTTTGATCATGATTGAAGATAATTAATTATGATGTAAAAACATGTAAAGGAATCTTTTTCTATAAAGATATTGATAGATTCTGAGGAGATTTGATTCCATTTTTGTTTATGATATTTCCATTATTTCTTCTATCCATTCATAAATACAAATTAAATTAAACTGTTTATTTAATTAAATTGATTACATTAAACCCCTCGGTCAGAAAAATGAATTATACAAATCGAGTTTCATCAAATTTACTTTTAATTTATTAATCTAAAAGATGGACATTTGATTATTGTTTATTCATCATTTCTTTTGTTGATTTGGTGGAAATATACTAAACATTTTAATTCATTCAATCATTAAAAATTATACTTTACATTTTTTCTGAAATTAAAATCAATTTAATTTAATTTTAATTTGATTAGAAAGTTGTTATAATATATTTGTTATTATTGTATATGTTTATCAATTTACTAAGAAAAATTTTAACATTCTTATTTGTTTAATATATTAATTATTATTATAGAATGATAATTATAATTAATTAACGCTGGTTACAGGGGATATGGGACATATATAATATATTTTTCGTCTCGGAAAATTATAATATGCACAAAAAATTAATGTATTAAATTATAATACATTTTTTAAATTTTATTAGAAGTAACGTTAATTTTTATTAATTTGCGCGCGTTTGCCGTTAATTTTTTACAAAATGTTGCTCAATAATGTACCAAAAATAATAAAAATATAAACATAATATCTATAATCGATTAAATGAATATTATATATATAAGGGAATATTCTTTATATTTTATATATTCTTTATAAAGAGAGAATTATCATTATAGACAATTGTTTTACTGTAACTGAATATTTTTAAATTACAAACTTGTAGCTTTTAATACATATAATTAGAAAAAAATACACAATTTTACATAACAGAAATATAATTGATTGTTTAAGAAAGAATTTAGATAAAGAAAGTGTTTTAAGAAGAAATCAATATGTATTAAAGAGAAACATTTAAATATAAATTTAAATTTTTTATCATCTATCTTTAAATTTTATCTTGAATAATTGAATATGATCGTAAAATAATTTATTCTTTTAATTAATTTTAAAACAAAAAAATAATAATTTAATATTTTTAATATTTTCAAAAATAATTTTAATCATTACTAATTATCCTTTTTAAAGAAAAGAGAATATTCAAACATATCATATAATTCTTGCTTAGCATTAGTTTTATTTTGATAAGGAAATTTTTAATGTACAAAAAGGCTATTGTGCATATATTATGTGTATTGTATATATGAGTATATATATGTGTGTGTATGTGTGTGTGTGTGTGTGTGTGTGTGCGCGCGCGCGCGCGCGTGTGCATGCCTAATATTTATAATCATAAATATATAAGTTTTATGCAATGAGATATGTATACATATTTTTATTATAATTCCGATTTAGCGATAATCAAAACAAGTTTTATCAGTGCAATAAATGTCAATGTAAATAACTTTAAATAATAATGTTAAAAAATTAATCTGTTATCAACCAAAATTCCATTTTTAAAACAGATTTTATTACTTATATATTTTTTATATATTATAAAAAATAATATATAAAACAAAAATTAATTGTTAGGTATTAATGATTTATAGATAAATAATGGTCTATAACAATAATATTTCAATAATTTGATTAAATTAAGATTAATTCAAGACTTTTAAAAAGTAAAAATAATTGTGATGTGTGTGTGTATGTGTGTGTAAAGAAAGGGAGAGAGAAAAAAAGAGAAAGAAGAGAGAATCAATATAATTATGTGTAAAAATGTTATTAGCAATTATTAGTTAATAATTACCAACAATTACTATTATGAGTAATTATAAAATTGTTATTAATTATAAGATTCTTTATATATTATAGAAAGGCCTGCGAATTAATAAGTTAAAAATAAGTATAACAACATTTATGTAAATAAAACGGTTTAATTAAGAGCATGAAAGAGAGGGAAGCGTAAATGTTTATACCACGCGCATGATTATAAATGCGTAAAAGAGCTTTTGTAAATTACTTTTCGTGTTTTACTTTCTCTGCATATGCACCTGTATGTGAAAAATGTATTACAATGAAAAATAACAAATGGATTGCAATCTACAAATTATTTTGAATAATTATTTAATTAAATCAATCCCTTTTTTTATTCGTCAAATGAGATAAATATGTGCACAAACATACACAAACATAGACATATAATACACATGCCCACATTTATATAATCACAATATCGATCGGTCATGTTATTAAAAAAGGCAAAGAAGAAAACTCTGTTTATTGATCCCCTCAGAAAATCCATCGTTAACGTTTCCTCGACGGAAGTTTTCTTGCGAAGAGAAGAGAAGAGAAGCAAAGTTTAAGCCTTCACTAAGGGCGAATAAAGTTACGCGGAACCACAAATTCCCAAGTACAACAAACGTAGAGATCCGGCGGATACATCAAGGCGCGAAAAGTCACGCAAATATTTGATGAGGTGCGAAGCGAGAGAAAATGCGAATAAGAATCTCAAAGTTAATTCGTCGATCGCTATACTTATTCTAATGTATCAAAAATAAATCATCATTTTAACAATTAAATGAATAAAATAATATAAAAAGAAATTTCTTTCGCATATAGTTATTATAGTATTTATTGAGATTTATAGATTTAATTTTTTCAAAATTTGCAATAAAGTTAAAGAAATCTATTGCAAATTAGATAAATAATTTGCGTGCATTTTCCTATTTTAAAAAATATTATAGAATTATTATAGATTTAATAATCTAATTATCTTTATTATTGTGTGCTATATTCATTTGCAAGATAAATAATTCAAGACTGAGTTTTTTATTAACATATTTGGAAAGAATTTTCAACTATAATTATGATTCAGATAATTTTATTATTGATAATTATTTTTCATTGGTATAATTTTTGTCAATATATTTTTATAAATTATTAATAAAATTATTAGCATAATTATATATATATATATATATATATATATATATATATATACTTTTATTCATAATAAATTTTGATCTTGACGAAAGATCGAAGTACCAATCAGTCATAAAATAATCAATAATTTTAAACTAATTTAAAACTAATTGATTTATACTTTTGTAAATTAAACTTCGAGATGATAAATATATAATACAAAAATTCATTTCTTGTTATAAATTTTAAATAGATTGCTGCCATCGAATTAATTCGCATTAACGTCAGAATAATCAAGATAATATGCCTGTCAAATTTATTTTTAATGCCACTTCAACATCGCGAATCTCGCGAATTCGCGCTTTTTCCCGCGCTGGCAGATTTTTCCGATTTTCGTGGTTGTAGCTGACAGACGAGGTGGAGATTTCCAGATCGCGAATAAATTTCACAGGCCTGTCTATCTCGCAAACAAATGTTCGCAGATTGTGAGAATCAAGTTTCATGATTATTCTCATAAATTTATCGATCATATGTTGTTTTTGTCTATATTTTTAACAATAAAGACTAATATAGTTACATAATGTACTAAAATAGTAAAATAAAAAATATTAAAAAATAACCGAGAATTAAATTACATAAATTACAATATATATTTGATATTTTTAATAATTTTTATAATAATTAAAATACACAAATATAATATTGTGACTGCTAACTTAAAAATTGGATATCTTGAAAACTTAATTTTGAAATATGTATATATTATAATATTTTGTTCTCAGAATTTGTCGTTCTAATATAAAATTCTATCGTGAAAAAAATATTCATTTAAAAAAAAGTAAAATAGTGTGTGTAAATAAAGAAAAAATCATTTATATTATTGTTTAGGAAACAATGGATAACATTTTGAACATTTGTTATAAATTAAATCACTAATAAATAAATTCTACTCTAAAATGTATCTCTCTCTTCGTATGTTAAACATTTTTAACCTAAAATTTCCAAGTGGGATTTCTCGAAAAATATTCACTTAAATTAAAAAAAAAGAAAGAGAATTCAGAAGATAGAGAATCAAAAAATCTTTAAAATGATATTTGATCTCTATTGTCATTTAAGATTTTTGACAGAGTATATATATATATATATATATATATATATATATATATATAACTACCCCGACGAAGGGGATGGAAAAATTTCGTTACAATTAATGTAATGTACTTAAATGTCTTCTTCGAAAACAAAATTGACGTCTTTTGGCATTTTTCGCAAAAAAATAGTCATTCATGAAATAAACGGATGGAAAGTTTTAAAATAAACACCTTGTATAATGAGAGAGATTTTACTTATATATGTATGTATATATATATATATATATATATTTTTTTTTTTTTTTTTATAATCTCATAATACTACGCGTTAACACTTTTAATCTGTACATTTTCTTTTGACCTATCGCATGATATTTCGCAGTATATTGTGTTAAAGATCAAAAATAAAAATCATTATTTTAAACTGAGATTACACCATAGGATCTTATATAGCAATTTATGGATCGGAAGACAGGAAGGCAATTATTATTAATTGCCCTAATATAATGCGAAAGGCAACTCAATCTATCTGTCAAGGAACAGACGTTCTGTTCAAGACGTCTAACGTCACAAGCAAATCCGAGATCGTAATTAGCAGGATATATACGCTCTCTTACCCTCACCGCTCTCCCGCATGCCAATCTGTTCCTTCAAAGGGAGACTGGTCTGATTCTGTTGCTGTCGCAGACAGGATCAGATTCCAGGCTGCTAATATCATGGAAGATATTCGTCAAACAGTATTCGTCCGTTATATATTCGCAAATCTCACTTATTAATTCTCAGAATTTTATAATAAAATACTAAGAATTATAATATCCGCTTAAAAAGACACATTTAAAATGTGAAAGGAAACGCCTTTTTTCATCAAATAATATTATCATCTATAACAATGTAATTCGGTAATAAAATAATTATATAGTTATATTCATGGATGTGAATAAGTGAAGATATTTTAGGAATATTTTTCTCAAAGCTTCATAGAAATGTTCACGAAAAATTGAGAACTTGAGAAAAACCCGTTTCATCAGCTTTATTAGTGCGAAAAGAAATTGTGGAGAAAGATCTATTCTCCAAATGGTTCATATATGTGCAGATAAAAACTTATGTTAGTTGGAGAGTTGATATATATTTATTCGAATGCTATAGATTTCTTGTGCACTTTGTCGTAAGTCAATCCTCAATTGTCATCATCCCTTTGTGATTCAACGATATTCTCGATTTTCTTCGTCTGCAGTTTTGTAGACGAAGAAAACTCGACTGAACATTCACAAAGTTTCTTCATGCTATATATCGATTCTATCTATTATCGATATGTATTTTTCCGCGAGAAACTGCAAGATTGACGATGATGATTCAAAGACAGAAAAAGAATCGTGAGTATAAATAAAAATTAAAGAAGAAATAAGTTTTGTATGTGTATGTGTACATATATACATATATACAGTTTAGTTGTAATTTATTTATAAATAATATAATAAATTGTTATATATTAAAATAATTATCGAAAAAGTTTGTGCAACTGCATTCTTTGTCATAAAATCTGCATAAATTTTTATTATCTAATATTTTACTTAATAATATTGTTAATAATAATATTTGTAATAGTACATAATAATAATAATTAATTTATATAATCAATAACTTTTTTTTAATTTATCATTATAATTAATAAAATACATCACTAATAAATATTAAAAATAATAGCTAAATTTTTTAATTCTATTGTATTAAATAAGAAACTTTGCAGCATCAATGTGAAAATGTCTCTCTTAAGAGATAGACATTTTCACAATTTTTCGTCGTAAACAAATTTCTCTACAAGGAAAAGTCAGTAGTGGGAAATCAGCCAGCATTTCATAGAATCTTTCGTACAACTCGGCAAAGTTCCGACTAAGAACTTTCTTCGAGCCGCTAATCGAAGCGACTGCGTAAACAAACGTGAAAACACAACAGCTAGTGTACCAAAAGGCAAATCAAGACTATAAATTTTTCTTGTATCTATTATTAGTACAAAAGCAATCTTTTTGCCGGCAAGATAAATTAATTTAAAAAAAAAAAATGTATGTATGCATCTGCTTATATATGTATACATATATCTCTAATTTCTGAGATCTGTCCTATTCAAAATGAGATACTTTCTCTCTCTTTTTTTCTTTCTATTTATATGTGTGTAAATATAGAATTATATAATATTCAAATATAACTACATTAAAATTATTTTAATATTATTAAAAATAATATTAAAATATAATTATATCATATTTTAATAACTATGTGTGTGGGGGGGGGGTGTATGTGTGTGTGTGTGTGTGTGTGTGTGTGTAATTAAAAGATATATTAATTAAATGAGAAATAGAAATAGTCTTTTAGAGAGGGAAAGGGGAGAAAGACATAATAAACATTTCACAACATATGATCGAAATACGACATGTTATACTACTATATATATATTTATATATAGTAGCAATGCAATTATATATGGATCATGAATTAAAGATAGGAAAGTAAACCACAGATGTTAATGTAAAAACGTCACGACGCCTTTCGTGTCATCTTTCGCCGAATAGTCGAAGATTTTGATAGAATGCATTTTAATGCGAAATTTGCATAATCGCTCGAATTCACGTGCAATGCGCACGTGATGCAGCTGAATAAAGAACCTGAACCACACTAAAGCTTTCTTCCCTACCACATTCGTTCCATCCAACTCTCTCAATTCTCTTTCCACGTTATTTTTTCATTTATTAGAAAAATAGAGAGAATCAACTGCTTTATTGATCCGAAAATGCTAGAATTTATAATATTAAAATAAAAAAGAATTGTGCAGAATTAAACTTATTATTGTGATTAGTATTTATATTTGTATTACTGTGTAATTGTTGAAAAATAATTTGAGTAAATTTAAATATAATGCATAGATGAAGAAAAAATTCATATAACGTATATTTTGTTATACAGATACATAAATGCCAAAGTTTCGTCATAATTTTTAAGTATTACATACATTTTCTTTTTTTTTCATTATTCTTTATACAAACTTTTATTTTTAAGAGTGTCAATTAGTCGTAGAAAATCGATTTGTTTATCACTGCTGAAATTCTGAAAATGATAAACAAAACAAATTAATGACTACAGATTCAGTATCTTATTCGAAAATAGCATTGTCAAGCGTCGCAAAATATGCAATCAAAATTTGTATAAATATTGTAATTGCTATTTCTCCATTACATATTATAATTAATTCTCTAACTGCAAAATTGCAAATCCTATTTATTATATATATATTTGAGCATTTATATATATATATATATATATATATATATATATATTTAAGAATTCATTTATCGTTATTCGATTAATTCATTTAACGTTATTCGATTAATCGTCATTCGATTAATGTAATTCAATTAATATAATTTAATTAATATAATTTAAAAAAGTATCAAAAAAGTTTTACCGCTTTTAAGAGCTTTAAGAATTTTTTAGTGATAAAAACATTATTCTTTAAATGCATAATTGATATCAATAAAATAAAATATTATTTTATGTAAAAATATATCTTTTTAAAAAATATATATTTTATGTAAAAATATATCTTTTTTTACAGAAATCAGAAGTTGTAGATTACAGAATCAAAGTAATTGTTTTCAAAATTTTTTATAAATAAAGTAATATTAATATTTGTTTCTATAAAGTGTAAATTTTAATTTTGTATTACGCATGAAAGTGTAATAAAAAAAGGAACAAAATATATATTATATATTGTATATATTATGGACAATGTTATGCCTAATAAATAATGTTATTTATACTTATTTACATATTATTCATTTATCGAGAAAAAAGCTTAATATGAATTATAAATTATTTTTCCAGTTTTGAAATCCTATATATTATGCTATAACACCATTATTATGTTCTTTATTGAACTTTTTTTTATATTATTTTAAGAAGAGGAATGTATATATATATGATATATATGTATGTGTGTGTGTGTGTGTGTGTGTGTGTGTGTGTGTGTGTGTGTGTGTTAGGACTCATACTTTATAATAGAGATTTCGTAATACATACACAGGAGGTAGACAAAATAGTATGAACACCTGATAAATACACTATATTTGTTTATTAATAAGGTATTGGGTCACCAAACAGCCTTCAATAGTTTCAATTCTCCTTAGAATAGAATCATACAATTTTTGAATAATCTCCAGTGGAATATTGTACCATTCTTTTATTAAAATATCTGTCAATTGCTTAAAGCAATGTTGGAGGAGAGCTTTCAAGATTGAACTTTTCTAGCTGTGTGTATGGATGTGTTACACATCTTGTAAAATGACATTACTTAATAAAATAAAAGAACAATGTGGGACAATATTCTACTGGAGACTATTCAAAAATTTTATGATTCTATTCCAAGGAGAATTGAAGCTAAAAATATTAAAGGCAATTAATGGCCAAATATCTTATTAATAAACAAATATAGTACTATTTTTGAGGTGTTCACATTATTTCTTTACCTCCTGTATATTACAAATACTCTTTTTTTAATATATTTGTTTTAATTATATTATCATGACGGATGACGGTATACGAATAGATATTATATGCATGTGTGTATATGCGCATGAATATTAATTTTAAATTACAATTAAAATGAAAATTGTACATATAAATATAAATATATAAATCAAATGTAGATTCTTTAAAAAGAAATTAAATAAAATGTATTAAATAAAATTTTTTATTGAATTATTTTATATGTTTAAATATTTTATTTATTTACGTAATCTGCTTTTATTAAAGATAAATGTTTAAGAACGATATTTCTAGTGCTAAAATAAATTTTTTAAATATAGTACTAATAACTTGAGAATATTTTTAAAGAAATGTCTCAATTATTTTAAGCTTTATAAGTATAAACTCTTTCTTATAATAAAATTACATACTTGAATCACAAGACAAAGTCATCCACTTTCAGAATCTTCTCAGGGATCATAATGGATTTCTAAATTAATTATAAAAATTATTAAATCTTCTTATATACAGATTACCTATTTTTTTAATATATATACATTGCTATGTATCTATTTTTAAATTTTTAAATTATTTATATTAAAGAAAATAAATATATAGCAGTGTATATGCACGCACATAAAAAAATTAAAATATATAAATATATAATTAAATGATACAATATATATAAGATTTCTCATTTTAATTGAGTGAATATTTTGTAAATAACACATTATGAATATTTTGTAAATAACACATTATCATGATAAATGTTTCAGACAAAGACTGTGCTCTATCAGTGAATTTCAGAATGCAACCAAAATTAGAATGATTCCATTAAAAAAATACTAGGTTGATCTTTATATGACTTCAATATTTATACCCAAGATTATACTAATATCTCTATTATTTTTTCCCTTTTGAACCAAACAATTTTGTCTGAAATATACATACACACACACACACACATACATTTCCCATCATAATATGTTATTTACATAATATTCAAAATGAGCAATTAAAATCAAACACTGTACACACACACACACACACACATATATGTGTGTGTGTGTATTTATTACATACATACTTAATATTACATTAAAAATATTGTATAAAATTCTTACAAACCTTAATAAATCTTTTACCACGTGGTATATCTTTTCGCAATATCTCATTTGTAAATCCTTGGTTTAGATATTTTTCGTACCAGTTAGTTCTCTGTAAACTCATAGACTATATTTAATTAAATATCACTGACTATATTTTATAAATATAATAATACATTATATAGACCAATATAATTATTTTAATATAACCAATATAATTATTACCAATATAATTATTACTAATTAACTTACTGCTTTTTGATATTCATCTTTTCTCTCATCCTTCTTTTGTATTTCATTTTGTTTTACTTTTATATTTTCAGATTTACAAGCTGAATCTAATTTTTGCTCTTTCAATGAATTTTGTGATTCTTCAACTGTAAAGCAATACTTTCCTAACATATTTTTTTCCTTTCCTTGCGATACATACATTTTATTTTTATCAATTTCCTCTATTGATACAATTCGTGGATATATCGCGGAATTTTTAGAACTTTCCCATCTCGCACTTTCAGATTTATCATTAATATCATTTAAATTATCATTTTCAATCAAATTTTCTTTACAATTAGAATTATTACTTTCAAAAGTCGAACTATTATTTTTATTTATAAACATATTTCCCAGTTGTTGAAAATTATATTTATTTTCTTCTTTTCTTTTATAATCTTGTGCAAGAATCGAACTATTTTCTGCAAAATCCTTCTTTTCTTGTAGTTCACTATTTTCTTCTTCCATGGCAAAATTACTTAAACTATTATTTTCATTAAATTTACAAGTATTGACAGTAGTAAGAATTTGCTTATTATTACTTTCGGTAGAAAGAATGTTATTCACTTTTTCTTCTAAAGAATTACAACTTTCAGGAATAATTTGAGGTTGTTTATTGACCTTTCTAGAAACAATATTGCTTACAAAATTATTCTTCTTATTATTAAAAATATTATTTTGTTGATTTTCGTTAAAAAAATAGATATTTTTTAAATTATTTTCGTCGTTTTGAATTTTCATTCCTATATCATCTTTACTGATGCTAAAAATATTATTTTGCTCATTTTCGTCAGAAAAGAGAGTTTTTTTCAAAATGTGTTCATTATTTTGAGAGTCACATGTCTCGGGAATTATTTCCCGTTTATTTTCTCTATTATCAGCGTTCTGCTTATCCTTTATCGCAATATTACTTTCACTAGCGTTATATATACTTTGTTTGTTCTCATCAGAAAAATTAATTTGTTTTGAAACTTTTTTATTATTTGGAGAATTGCAAGTTTCAGGAATAATATTTCTTTCGATTGGTTTCTTAGCAGCATTCTCAACATCCTGCGTATCCTCGATTATTATCGTATCAGATGGAGAAAGCGTCTTTAATTTTACAAATGTAGCAAAATCGAATTTGGGATTACAATACATTGTCGTGGAGCAATACAGAATTGCAAGAGGAATTTCTGTATCAGAAATCATTCTACGTTTGACAGCTTGTAACTTGCAATCTATAATATTAACAAAAATTATTCTATGTATTATTCTATTCACTACTCTCTCTCTCTCATTTTTCCCTTATAATAATATAATTCAATTACTTACAAATGACAGGATAATCAACTGCAATAACTTGAGTTAATTGTGAAGAATCATTAGCAGGTTGCTGTATAACAATAGCATTTTTTGCAGTGAGATCTCGAGGTCTTAAGGGTCTTCTTGTGGGATATACACATGATTTACCACCTGAAATATATAACCTTATTTTAAAATATTTATAAACTGATAAGAAAAAGTACTGAGTTTAATAGAGTGTATAAGAGCGTATAAGAGTTACAAACATAAAAAATTAAACTCATTAAAAAGAAAAGAGTTTAAACATAATTATATTACAAAAAAATAATTAAAATAATTAAAAATCTAGAAAATTAATTATACAATAAAAAAAAGTATTTAATATTATAATATAACAGATTATGTTATTTATCATATATTTAAGTTTTTTTCTTATTTCAATATGTAAAATTACATTTGCACTATACAAAACTCACAGAATTAATAGATTTGGTTACCTGCTGCATTAATTAATAGTACATATGCGAAATATTGCTTCGGGCAAAAATGCACAAACGACAAACCCTTGAATAGTGTTTTACGTTTTTCGTTCGGTAGAAACAATTTCGAACAAACTTTTAGCCATTCCTCTTTTACTTGTGGTAGAAAATCTTCAATTTTTGGTAATTCTTTGGAATCTTTGATAGCTATATTTACTGCTTCCCAATATGTAATTGTGACAATAGACTTAGCAGAAGCCAATGCACAAGCTAACTGCACACAAAAGAAATGCAAGTGAAAATCAACAAAGACATTTTCTTTTGCTTTTCTAATTGTTTTATATTTTTGTAAATAAAATTTTTTGTAATTTTTTGTTTAATGTAAAAAGTATATAACAATAATATCAAACAATATGTTTTTAAGGAAGTTTTACTGTAAGGAAATTATACTGTAGTAAACTTCTTAAACTAAACTTTTTAGACTTAATTTTAAGCAAAAATTTTTTAAATTTCTTTTGTTCGCAAAATACTTTCGAAAAGTCTTTTAAATAATTATAATTTTTAATAATTAAAAAAATATATGAGAAATTATAGAAGATCTTACTTTTGTGGTAAATAGAACGCTTTTAGCTACTGTCAAGTGTGTGCAGGAATTGTCCCAAGTTTCAGCTAAACTTGCTCCCAAATAATCCACAATATCCTTTAATCTCTTTGTATCTTCATCACTTAAACCAGATCTCACAATCACAAATAAATGGTACAATGCGCTACAAAAATAAATTTATTATAAAAATTAATCAGTCAAAAAAATTAAAAAGAAATATTATATAAAAATTAATAATTTTAAGTTATGTAACATCTATTTAAATAGTATATGTTACTATTGCATTATTACTGTATTACTATACTCGATGCACAGTTTACAGATAAATGCCTAAAGAGATATTAATAAGATGACATTTATTTAATAATTTCTTTTTCGTTAAACATTATAGACAAAAATGATTCGGATATTTTTATTAAGATTTATTCATTTTTATTAAGAAATAATGCTATGTAATTCATGGATACAAATTATGATATATCCTGTATATATACATATATATATACAAATATAAATAAAAGTTTGTAAACATAAATAAAAAAATTGTGCAATAAGACATTGTTTTTATAAAACATAAATAAATATAATATATATATATATATATATATATATATATATATATATATATATAGATTCTATCAAATCTATGAAATTCTTACACAAAGGTATATTTCTGGCCAAATTGCATCACATCGCCAGATTTTAATATAAATTTATCATTTGTAGATAGTCTTTTTTCCTCCCCATCTCTTATAATAATTGTTTCATATTTAGATAGATTACTGATAATACATTTATATTGTGTCTAAAAAAATTTAACATTTTTAATATTTTTGGAAAGAGAACAAATTAGAGCGAATTGGCACAGATTAATAAAAACAAATTTACGTCTGATTCTCTTGTTGATTCCACAGAAACTTCTGCATGAAATTCACTAATTCTGACATCTTCCTTTAACTTGATGTCACTTTGATATGAGTTGCCAAAGGATTTCTTCTGATTTGGCAAGATGTAAACACAAAGACCTAGAATAAATTGTTAATTTTCAACATTTGTTATTAATAATATAAATGCATATACAAGAATCATTAAAATATAAGATGATAAAATTATAAAACAGGTTTAAAATTTTTCAAATCATGCATTGGAGATTCTAATTAATTTATCATCTCACTTTTTAGCTTTACATATAACTGAATTCTTATTTCCCTAACAACACACATGTCCAAAAGACGTCTATAGAATATCTAGAGGATAGCCAAAGGATATTTTATATCCTCTGGATGTGCTCTCGATGATCTCTAAACATCTTTTGGACATGTGTGTTGTTAGGGTTATTATTTACTATACCTACATATTTGCTTCTTATTTATTTAGTTATAAAAATTGAGAATTAAAAGAAGTCTAAACTTTATATTTTAATATAAAATATTAAAACTTTGAATATAAACAACTTCATTTCTAACCATACATACACATACACACACATATATACCTTCGCTTCCTTTAAGACACCACATGTCGAAAATATCACAAACATCAAATATAATTCAATGTATATATAAATTCGCAAACAAAGTAGGAGGTAATATTTTAATTTTGTGAAATACTTTATCTCTCTCTCAAAACATTTTTGTTGACGAGTCGCTGTCACGAATGTCCTTTGTTAATCTATAGTTTACATCACGTACACTATTGATAAACGAATGACATCTACGGCAGCGACTGCGTAAACGAACGCACCAACAGTTGGGCAACATTACTAGTTTTCCGATGTAATTCGTAACTGATTGGTCGGACCTGAAGGTAGAAACCAATCATGTTCAATTGTTACTTAGCGGCCATTGGCCACATTCAGCGGATTCAACCGTATGGCATCTAATTGACTTTGGCTACGGTCGGGAAGATGCTATGAATGCTTTGAAGCATTTGATTGACCAATCAGGTTAAAAGAAATCTTTACTCCTTTTGTCCTGATTGGTCGATCAAATGCTTCAAAACATCTAGAGCGTCTTCCCAACCGCAGCCATCGTCAATTGGTCAATTCAAAATAAAAACTCTCTGATTGGTCAAACGGGACGTTCCGATGTGATACTAGTAAATTCAAAGGGTTAAATAATTTGAAAAAGACCATATTTTTCCATAGTGCAATTCTTGAAAATTATATTTAATAAAACATACAAAAAAATATAATTTTTTAAATATGCACACACACGCACGTGGTTATAAAGAGAAAAAAATATTTTATTGAAAAAAATATATATTTTATTGAAAAAAATAATCAATGTTCTCTACGTGTGTGTTATGTATGTGTGGCATACATGTATATGTGTGCACATATTTAAATAAGTTACTCTTATCCTTTTGTATAATCACGTTTAAATATAATATTTACATACATAACATTGCCATCATATATGAATCTTTTTTTTGTAAAATAATACTACCTAACAACCATAAAAAAAATATCAATTTCTATTAATAAAATAACAATTTCGTATCTTAATATAACAATGTCTGTAGTAAAGCAATGTCTTTTCATTTTTATCCCTTACAATAATTTTATTCTTTTTAAAATTACTTGTAATATAAATATATAATTTAAATTGGCATCATATAATAATGAGGCATGCCCGTAACCAGCCCGTTATGTTAGAAGGGGCAAATAAAATTCTAGTTATGTTAGAGGGGGCAGTCTCAAAAACTCTTTTCCAATGCACAAAATACATTATTTTTTTATTATTTAAATATCGATGCAATATTTCATAAGAAATAATATCAAATTACAATCAAGTAAATATTAAAATGTTTAAAATTGTAATTTTCGAGTTGTCTCGTTATTGAAAATTCTTAGGAAACATAATAGTTTCTAAAAATGAAAGAAAAAAATTCCTTTATTGCCTAGTGTCTTAAATATGCAGAGTATTAGAAAACAAATAAAATAAAAATTTGCCAGGGGGGACAATGCCCCCATTTGTCCCCTCCCCCCTGATTATGGGCTTGATATGAGGGGAAAAATTATATATATCTTTTTTTTTATATTATTATATGATGCTAATTTAAATAACCTTTAAGAAAAGATAAAGAATCCTTATTTCTAATTGTTATCTAATTTTTATAACAATGGTTCTTTATTTCTCTCTAGGCGCTAATTATTTTAAAATTTATAAAGCAATTTTCTCTCTTTCTCTCTCTATTTCTATTTAAACATCGATAATTCTTCTACACTTTTAAAATACATAAACTATAAGTTAAAAACATGTAAGTTTAAAAAAATCGATAGAAAGTGACTTATATACATATTAAACATTTATCTATATAGGTATATTTTTAAATTTTTTTTCTTTTTTTGAAATTATTATTTTATATTTTTTATATTGAGCATTAAAAAAAGAGATAAAATTTTCGAAATTTTTGGACAATAATCGACTAATATAATTAAAGACATTTAAAAAATATATATATATTAAATATTTTTTTTACAAATAGAAATTATAAATTATGAAGAATATTATTATGAAGATTATGTAAATTCCATTATTTTTTGATATTTTAAAGGCTCTAATATTCTCGAACAAAAATTTATTATTCGAGATCCAAGACGGTTTTTTTGCAAAACTACTACAAATTATGAATATTTACTATAAATATATCATGAATTGCGAAAGTAAATAAAAGTTGCTAGAACCTTTTCAATAAACATTTTGAATTAATATTTTAATAAACATACTGCATAATTAAAAAATAATATAGTAGAATTCCTTTATTCTGTCTCTACCTATTCAAAATCAGCTGTAGACTTATAAATATATGTATATATAAACTAGAATTCTTTTTTTATTTTTTTTTATTACACATTAATCACGTGATCATTAGATGAAAAAAAAAATGAGTTAAAAATAGAAAATGTCAATGCTATATTTATTCTGTGAATATAAAGCGCCAAGATCCCGTGTTATTTTGAAAAATAATGCCGAATTATATAATTCTAGAATAGAGGAGTATGATTGCAGTTCGTCGAAAATGAAATAAATTCAAACTTTAACGACATTTCCGAACTATCCAATGTTTTTCAATACTTAAAACGAAACAAATCTAAATCCTAATTATATTTTTGAAAACTTCTTCGACTGTTCATCAATCAATGTAGTCGAGAAGAAAGAATTTCGATTGTAAAATATATCTTTGCAGCTTTAGAGTTGATCAATCACCATATTGACAATTGACAGCTTTAACGTTGCTCTGGCCCGTGTTGGTAACCGATGCACTAACGGTGCTATTTTTCTCAAGAAATGCCTAATCTCGCTTCTGATAGGAAACATGGTTCTTCTCATAGTTCCTGTAATCTTCTTCCGTCGTCTTTTCCTCCTTTTCATTACATTTTGTTTCAAATCCTCTAATTCCTCAAAATAATGCTTCTTCTTTACCTGCAATATTTTGAATAAATAATTATTCAAAATTATTTTTATTCCAATATTACAGATATAATAATCATTATAAATGATATTATAGATATCATATAATTTATTAAATATTACAATTATTTATTCTCTAATTATCAAATATTTGTTTTGTCTGATTTCAAATTATTAATTACTAGTAAATAAATATATGTGTATGTGGGTACACATCATCTATCAATCATATTTGTTAATTAATTGCAGAAATATCTAATATACAAGAGTTTATATAACTGTATTTCTAATCATTTTATGGTTTGTAAATAACGGTAAACAGTTATATATTTGTATATATATTTACAAATCTTTATCTAAAACCAAAATTAAAATTATTTAATGCAGATAATTATCATATCTATATATGTATGTATATGTGTGTGTGTGTGGGTGTGTGTGTGTGTGTGTGTGTGTGTGTGTGTGTGTGTGTGTGTGTGTGTGTGTGTGTGTGTGTGTGTGTGTGTGTGTGTGTGTGTGTGTGGGTGTGTGTGTGTATGTGTAATTGCTTTTAGCAAATATTTTTTTAATCATTAAAAAATAAATTGTATATAATTATAATTTTTGAATATATATTCACAATTGTGCGTATTTATATAATTGTTGTCCATTAGCAAGTATATTTTGTTTAACTTACACTGACTTGCAGCCCAGTTTCGTCTTCCAAAATCTCCAAGGAATGCGGAAGCGTTTCTTCTTCCTGTACTTGTACCTTATTAGAATTTAAAATCTCTTCATTAGATTCTGTAGACATTGATAAAATTTCCACTAAACTTTTGTCCATGTTTTGTTTCGTTTTTTGCAAGATAGTAGAAGTTTGATTGTTTTTCATCCAGATTTGTTGTTCGCTCGAATTGCTCGTATAATTTTTCATCTTGTTTTGTTTTTTTATTCTCGATGCTTTTTGAAGATTTTGCTGTTCTTGTTCTGGCAGATTTATCTTAATTAATAGTCCCGGAGGAATACTCGACAAACTATGAACTGGTATCGGAGCACCAAGCGTCGATATATCTCCAGAAAACGGCACTATAATCTTCTTAACGCTTCCCTGAAGATTATTCGTAACATTATTTGAAGCGACATTATTAATTGTAATTGGTTGAAATTGATCCCCCAATTGGATCTTCCAATTAGTCGTAGGCGGAAGAGGTAGTTTTTTAATTTGGTTCTCCGTATTGTTAGGATTAAGTCTAGGAATATTAATAGAAGTCGGTCTTCGTGATTTTCCTCGTTTTTTAGCCAATGGCGCAGGTTTATTGTCAACCTTGGGTTTCTTGCTGGATACAAGTGGCCTAGAAACTGGACGTTTAAAGACCTTAGAAGAGTCTTTACCATCTTCTCCATCAAGGTATTGATCATCTTCATTTTGCTCAGAAACATTTTCGCTTTCTGCAATATCCTTTATTGTAGGCACTGCGTCACATGGCCCAATCTTGTGGAAACTCTGCTTAGCTTGAAAATGTTTGGAACACAGCACAAGCTTGCGTATCTGATTGGGCGACATTTTGAGCAGATCTTCGCGGCCGAGAAACTGACACCAGCGTAAACATCGACCTATTTCGTATGCCGGGAACGGATGAAATTTGTAATGTTCAATCTTATTTCTCGGATCGGATCTTAACCGACCACAAGCCGCGCAAGCTTGGCTTTCTAGTACTTCAGTAGGCAACGACTCCAGCTTCTTGCACTTATCCGGAAAGCTGAAAAGTTTCGATTCTACCTGCGAATCGACAATAGACGGCTCTGATTGATCCACGTGATCTGCATCACGAAACTTAGGAACAGCATTTTCCATTAATCTCCCTTTGAATCCTGGAACAAACTGGGAACGATCAAAATGCTTAGAACAGATATAACAAAAGAGAATTTCTTTCCTTGTCAATCTGTAATAAGAGTCTACGCCAACAAAATCCAGCCATTTGAGGCAGCGAAATTCTTCCCCAGGAAAATGATGGAAGGTTGTTCCATCATAATCTGCAGTAGGAGGATCTCTTCGTGTTCTTCCACAAAGAACACATGTTATATTATACAAACTCTGCTTGGGATCATAAACTGATGGAACCGCAGTATGATTTAAGCGGTCCAAGTACTCATTGAGAAAATCTTGCGACTGGAAATGCTTAGAGCAAACCATACGTTGAAGAAGTTGTTTTTTTGTAAGCTTGTAAAGATCCTCACGACCGCAAAACTCAAGCCAATAGCGGCAACGTTGCTCATCGTTCACTGGAAAGCCAAAGAACATGTACTCTTCCTCGCGATTGTTAGGATTCATACGTGAACGGCCACAGACGACACAAGGATGTGGCATAGTTGTGATATTGTTCTTAAAAATCAAGTAAATCTAGTTCATAATTCAAAATTGAAGTTATAGATTTCAAAAATCAAATGCCTTTTGTATCCTTCATCTTCATAATTTTAGCTTGAGAGGTAAATTGTAACTTTCAAATTCCTCTTTTTCATAATTAAATTAGTTGCCTTTGAAAGTAAATAAGTCTTCCTGTCCATAATTTGCGGTTAATGTTATAGCTTTCAAAACACCATAAACATAAAAATCTTCCTTTTAATAGCTTACAGTTGGTATTATAATTTTCAAAAGAGAGTGAAAATAGTTTTCAAATATTTTTCTCATAGTTCACATTCCTTTCAAAGCTTTCCATAGTTTAAACTGTAAATTATGACTGTTATGTTCTCTCCTTTATAATCCATGGCTGAAATTGTAATCTTTGAATGTCGAGAGATTTTCCAATCCTTTTCTTTCATAGAAATTGCACACATTGAAATTGTGCTAAGATCAAGTAATCTTCAAGTTTTTCCTCTTCGCAATTTAATGTAACAAATTTTATATAATTTTATCTGCGTTTTATCTTCAGAATATTCTCCTATAGCTGAAAATAATTATGAGATGCGTTAAGGATATTTACAATTAACAATTAGTGGAAAAAGAATTAAATATATATATATATATATATATATATATATATATAATATATTTAAATATTTGTTTCAAAATAAATTTTGTCGCTTTATTTTCTTGGTCTTTTATTGCATCCAAAAGAGATCAAGTTGCAAACAAATTTAATAAAATTTATTGAGAAACAATAGCAAAACACAAATTAAAGTCAATTTAAAATCAATTGCACTTATTATTTGTCTTGTAATTTATGTATGTATGAGATTTCTGACGTAATTTTTTCCCGTCTAATTATTTCGTCGCAATTTTGAAATGCTTTTAACGAAGAAGCGATATATAGCCGCTAAATTGTAAAATTTTCGAAATGAAACATAACATTGAAAATTTTCATTTTGTTAGAATTCGCGAAATGCTATTGAATATTGAAAATTATTGAGAAAATATTATTAAAAAATTAGATGTGTGTACTTGTTGCAGTAACGAGTGAGGTTATGTCGCTTTGCTTAGCATTCAGAAATCTAACCTGCAAACGTCATTGGACTTCATAGCTTGATGGTAGAATTGACAGTTACTTGTTGATATTTGCCAGCGTAGCATCGAGATAAACATAATATAATATAGATTGTAAGTAGTAAAATTGAGAGATATTGTTGTTTAAAATTTCTTTTATTATTTCTTGGAGAAAATATTTGAAAGATGGCAGAAAATGTCAACAATCCATATGATATTAATGGACAATATTTCAATTCTGACATGTATTTTCAAAAGTTATTAAAGGTGAGTTAATTAAAATATAGATATTTAATAAAACTTTATTTTTTAAATTAAAAATTATTTAAATCATTTATTTCTTTAATTTTCTCAAAATTAATAAAGTTTTTGTTGTTTTTGCATAAAGAATTATATATTTTAAATTTTATACAGACAAAATACACAACAATACATAACAATAAAAACAATACACGCTACTTACATCTTTTTATAGGTTATATTATCAATATACAAATTATTATGCTCACCATATTATATCTTATTTATTACAAATTTTTATATATAATTTAATTTTGTTATACTACTTAATTTCTTAAAATTTGTTTGCGTCATTTTATTTCTTCTTTTTACATCAGGAATGTACACTAAAGCAAATTATGGATCACGAATCTGAGATTATAAAAAATACTCAGACTTTACATTCAGATATGCAGACTTTGGTATATGAAAATTATAATAAATTTATATCTGCCACAGATACTATTCGTAAGGTAAGCTTACTATTTTTTACAAAATTATTAGATTTGTTTTTAATTTTGAATATGATTTAGATGAAAGCAGACTTCAAGGAAATGGAAGACAGTATGGATCTCTTGGCAAAGAATATGGATAGCATTACTTCTTTTTCAGAGCAGATCTCTTCAACTTTACATGGAACAAGACAACAAATTGCCAAGTTGTCTTCTGTACATACTCTGTTAAAAAAATTGCAATTTCTTTTCAAGTTGCCTGGCAATCTTAAAGATAGAATGAATGAAGAAAATTATGAGCAAGTATGTACTTAAAGTTTATTTATATTTGAGTATATAAGATATAATAATAATAATACAATCTCTTTTATATCAATTTTCTTAAATCATGATTTATAAATTATTTATTTTCAGGCAGTTAAAGATTATGTTCATGCGCAAAGAGTTTTAAATCAATACAGTAATATGCCATCCTTCCAAGGCATTCAGAGAGATTGCGAAGATATTTTAGAAGAATTAAAATCCAAACTCAGATTACAATTTCATAAAAGAGACACTTCCATTAAAGCTCTAGCCGAAAATGTCGAATTTTTATTACAATTAAAAGAACCAGCTGATTCTTTATGCATTGAGTTCTTAACACATACTGAAGGAAGATTAACAGAACAATTAGAAATCCTGAAAAATATGTGCGAAAATGATATTATAGAGTTTATGGATATGGCTTCTTCAGGATTTCTCAGTAATTTGTGCCTGATTGTGGCTTCCTATAACGATATGTTCATAAATCGATTATTGAAAGATAATGATTTAGTTGATGACTTTGAAATAAAAGCTGAAAATCATTTGAATAAATTTATTGTGAGCAATATGAAAAAATATTTTGATATAGTGAGCAAACGAGTAGAAGATGTGAGTGATACAGCACTTTTGGTGAGAGTTCTTGACAGATTTCATCACAAACTGCAGGCAATGAAAATATGCAAGGAAAAGAACTTTGCCAAGTAAGGGAAAAAATGAAAAATATATTTAAATAAATTAAAAGTAATTTGGAATAAAGTAAATAAGATATATGAAATGGAAACTATGTTTGACAAAAAGTAGAAATAATAATATATATATATATATATATATATATATATATATATATATATATATATATGCTCACAATCGTTTTACTTTAAAGAGATATCGATATCTAAATACACAAATAAAATTGAAAGAAAAAGATAAAATAAAAGAGCACTATAATTTTTATGTAATTTTATGTGTGATAATTAATAATATTTTTTAATTTTATCAAATTAACTCTGCTATTGTGCATACATAGATGTGTTAGATTATCAGGCAACAATCTATGTGGTATTTATAGATAGGACATTTTGAATATTTTTAAACATTAATATTTAATTGATTATATATATTAGACAAATAAAAATGCATAAAAATTAATTTTTTTAGTATCTTTATATAACTTTATTTCATGTTTAATACTTCTAAAACAAGTTTATGAGTATGGCACCAAAGAAAAATAAAATTTTTCTTTTTACTTCAACATAATTGAAATTTAAAATTCAACAGTTTAGACCAGAAACAACTTACGTATTAATAGTTACATATTAATAGTTTTATAAAATTCACATTTTGCTAAAACAGCGTTTTAACAGCGTTTTACAAAAATTTAGAATTTACAAAGAAAATTGTAATATATGTACACATACAATACATATATAAGATTAAAATATTGTTATGTATATATTATATGATAAAAAAAATAAAATAAATTAAAATAATTATTTTGCAGAATTGGAACTGACATTGTTGTGAATGCTGGCCGAAAGCAATGTCGCAATCATTTACACAGTTTGAAGCAACACTTAAGCGAAACTTTAGTAAAAGTGAGACAAACATTAGCCACCAAACTTACACAGAATAGTGACGGAAACTTAACAGAACTTCAAGCCATGCTTATCATACCTATCATTGAAAAAGTTAAAGGAGTTTTGCAGGATTTATTGGTTTGTATTTTCTTCCTTCTCATTATTTCTTTAGTTCTTTATATTTTTTTACTATAATTACATTAATAGATATATAGTATCGACATATAGTATAGACTATAATATCACTACAATAATCTTCATTTTCATATATGTGTATGTATATAAATCCTCACCAATTTTCATAAGCTAATATTGCACAAAACTCTGTGACATGCTCTTAAAAAACGGATATATAATTAAAAATATTTTTTCATAAATAAAATTTAATTTTTAAATTATAATTTAAAGAAAAATTTATAGAAAATACAAGGTAGTAAGGATAAATTTTGTTCTAAGGATATACTACGGTGAGTAATGGATCTTGCAAAGAAAGCAATAAAGGAAACATTTCGAAAATATTTCTATTCTTAAAAAGACGTAAAAAGGAAATTATTATTAAATACATTTCTTTTAATAACATATCTTATATTTTACAACTATAAATGTCCGCGCATTTATGGTGTGTGTCTGTATATGTATTTTTCTGTGATAGACAGAAAATATATATATATATGGAAATGAAAGTTACTGAAAAATATATGTCCTATAATATAAACAATCTATTTCCTTTTTTTTAAATTCTATTTTAAATTTTTATTTAATTTTAAAATTTTTTTAGTTCATCTTCAATCTAATTTTATTAAGAATTCAATCTTAATTGAATTCTTAATGTAATGTAACTCTTAACTATGCATATTTTACTTTTTACATTAATTATTTTTGAAATTTTTTCTTTGATAATTATTTTTTTAGTAGTTTTTGAATTTTTGAGGGAGAATGATCTAATAATATAAATATATAATAATATAAATTAAATAAAAAAAGAAGATAAATTACAATTGTTCTTTCAGGTATTTTTGCAACAAGATCTATCGTTTAATCGAAAGACGCAGTTTCTGCAAAGTTTTTGTGTGGATGAAGTAAGAGAAGGATTAGTAATTGGTTTCCTGCATCATCTTACAGCTACAGCAGCTGGATTCTGCAATGGATCTGATGTGCCAAAATTTCCGCCCACTTTATTACTTTTGCTCAGTAAAATGTGCATTGAATATAAAGATAGCAACGTCCGTTATTTGGTATTTAGAAATAGAACAATTTAAAAAAATATTTTATGTGTGTGTATGTATGTGGCCAATTATATATATATATATATATATATATATATATATATATATATATAAAGATAAAAATATCAATAATATAAATATAATATAAATATTATATATACATATAGATATAACATATAGATATAATAACATATAGATATAATATGAATAAAAATATCAAAATTAAAATAAAATAAATAAAAATCAATAGTGTTTAAGTAAATGTGAAAAAATAATATATTAATATGTTTGTATACTTTGCAGCTCACGACCACCGATGATCTTTTCAGTATTGATCAATATACATCTTCAGAAAACATAACTCCCAGGTCAGAAATATGTAATCACTTTCAGGAAGCTGCACAAAATTTGCTGAATCATTATGTACGAATTCAAGGATTAGCAGTTTCCCAAATGTTAAGGAAATCCGTAGAAACCAGGGATTGGTTGCACACAATTGAACCTAGAACTGTGAGAGCTGTGATGAAGAGAGTTGTTGAAGATGTAACAGCTATTGATTCCCAAGTTGCTGCTCTATATGATGACAATGATGGTCAAATAGATAGAAGTAGCGACAGCAGTAGAAAGACTCACAGGTAAAAAATTGAAAATGCTGTTCAATTAAATATATTTTTTCTTCGAAATATATATATATATATCTGATAATTGATATAAAAATGAAATTTTATACAATACTAATTATATGTATCTTCGAATTTTGAAATATTCTTTAGATTTTCCCTCAAATGTATTATTTATTGAACGTTAAATCCTTAAATTTGAGATAAATAATCCGGATTTTTTTTTTAGCATTAGTGTCTCGAAACATCACTATAGGTCAAATTGGTCATCCTATACACCCAGTCACATCGATTCCTCTCTAGTGTCGAATATTCATAAACTGTTCTCCGAACGGATTGAGATTTTTTCGTCCGTGCAATTCAACAAGGCGTCTATTCTAACAGGAATCATTAAAATAAGCTTAAAAGTAATATTAATGATAATATACTATATACTCTTTAATAAATGATAAAGGAATTAAGAATTTTTTAAAGAATAATAATCACATCAAATATAGTGTAAAATTTGTAATATAATAATGTAATACTTGCGATTTTTAATTTACTTAATCTTTAATTTTACTTAATTTTATTTTTGACGTTAATTTACTTAATCATTGATTCGGATTAAATCTCTTTATATTTTTTTTTATTTATTATTCATCATTAGTTTCACACAATTTGTCATCATAACAATTTGTTATTTCAGTTTATTTCGTACATACATTTTCAATTTTTAATTTAATTCTTTTCAATTATTAATTACTTTCAACTTTTCAATTATTTATTTATTTATTCTTCTTATTTGTTCTTCTTATATATTAGTTAATTACTTTTTAATATATAGAGTGATAAAAATTCTTCTGAATTAATACTTTTAGCAATTCACTCACATAATAATTGCTCAAATGCAGAATAGTCACAATGACAAGATAGCACAACTATTATCACTTTGCAAAGTTAATTCATTTTTTTTTTCAATTTTATTATTGTTTATCTGGCAGTATATATCTCATATTTTTGCTATTATTTACAACTGTTGTAAAAGACTGTTGTTTAATAATTATTCTTTTTAGTGATAATTTTGTAATATCCTAAAATATTTCCTATAATAAAATATCTCTCTTTTTTCTGTACATAGACTTTTCTAGAATGTGTAAGATTGCGAACGTTCAGTAAATATGGTTTGCAACAAATCCAGGTGGACACTCATTATTTGCAGCTTTATCTGTGGGGATTCGTGTCGGATGAAAAGTAAAGTTTATATTTAATTTTTTGCAGGGTAAATAAAATAATTTCATATTTACGCTAAGATATTTTATTATTTGTAGCGTGGTTCATTTTTTACTGGACGAGATTTTGGGTAGTGCAGTACACAGATGTTTGGAACCAGTTTTGATGGAGCCCAGTGTGGTAGATATTATTTGTGAAAGGGGTTGAATTGTGAACAACTGCAAATTATTTTTTGTGCAATTGTATATGCTATAATATATAAATGGTAAAATATATAATTTATAAATATAATAGTAAAATGATTATAATATAAGTATATGAAACATGAATAAATATGAATAAATAAAATATATTATAATAATAATTATATATATATATAATAATAATTATATATATATATATATATATATATATATAATAATAATAATAATTATATATATATATAATTCTATCTTTTTATCTGTTTTCATCATTTTCAATTTCATCAAAATAGCCGATTTTTATCAAAATTGTCATTTTGTTCTTTTCTGCAATTTCTACCTATATCTTGCTCAAAGCATAAAAGTTTAGTACACCGTATAAGACGCAGCACATTGTAGAGTTAAACGATTTTAATAAGTCTTAATTCTTCACATTCTACATTTTGTATTTTCGAACTCTTTCGCTAATCTCATTTCGTTTTTTTGAAATAATTTTTATATTAGTAAATTAAAATATATTTGTATGCAGACACACACGTACACGTATCATACATATACTTGCTATGACTTATTTTTCTTTCTGTTATATTTTTATTTTGTTTTACATTTTTTATAAGGTTTTTATTTACATAAGTGTTTCGTTTATTGATCTTTCGGTTTTATTTATTTAATTTTATTTTTACTTTTTTATTGATTTATATAATCTTTTAACTTTTATTATCTCATTACAATAATTTGACACATATGTAACATTATAGTATTATCACTATATACTAATTTGAATATGATAATCTAGGATATGATCGATCAATTAAGAGATGAACGAGGTCGCAATAAGTTCATATTATATGGGATATATCAGGGAGAACTTGGTTGTAGCCCCTTGACAGTGGTTACACTCGACTTAATTCAGACTTCCTCTCTCTTGGGATGAGATTCATTCGGCGAGTATCCGGCCTGGGCCCACGCATCGCATTCTATCCAATTTAATATTTTCTCCTGTAAATTTTGCTCTTGGGAAGCCATGTCAAATTTTTTTTTAGAGTTTTGTCAAAAATAATTCTTTTCTTATATTTATAAATCTTAATAATGTCAAAGATAATATTTCTCATTTTTGCGCATACAAAATGCTCTTATAAACTAACTTCTGAATAATTGACTATATATATGTTAAAATATGTATAAGATGATAATTCTTTTATAAAAGAAAAAGAATTTTAATTGTGAAATATTTGCGATATCTGGAATTATAATAAATATGTGAAAATGTAAAAAAATTGGGAGATTTGTAGAACACGTTACTCTATTTTAAAATGGAATATTATAGATATATAATTCATAGTTATATATATATATATATATGTAATTCGTAATGTAAATATCACTTTTTCTAATTAATCGTAACTTTTGTTAAAAAATATTTTATAATTTGAGAAAACACTGGATGGTATATAATATTAAATCTCTATGGAATATACTGAAAATCATATTTTTCATTCTTAACCTTTGTCACGTTTAAATTTCTTACATTCTTAAATTGAAATGAAATTATAAAATTGGTTCCTTTTATTTTTTCTCTCTCTAAGAAATGTAAAAAAATTCGAACCTTTTTTTTAATCGAAACTTTTTTTTAATCACATCTTGTTTTCTTCGGAAATTTAATGTGAGACTGACATTACAAAATGTGATGACATTTTTATCTAATTATATATCATACAAAAATAATATAAGGCTACAAAACTTTACAATTAAAAAAGTATTTAAATTGAAACTATTTAAAGAATATTAGAGAGAGATGTCGGGTAAAGAAAAGATATCAAATATAAATGACAGACATATGGCAGCAGATATGTATAGATATGTGGCAGCGATATCTTAAGAAACACCTGTGCATGCGTAATTTGTCTGAAATTTCTCGCGGCATTCCATCTGAAACCGCTGCCACATATCAATATCAACGCATATCGTCCTGCTACGTGTCAAAGTGAATCGCTAGTTATGTGAAGTGTTTGCATCAAGATTAAGAGGGAAGAAACAATAAATTATCTACGTAACTATTTTTAACATAATATATACATATATGACTTTATATATGACATATTATATATGCTAAAATATAATATTATGAAGCTTATTTTGGATATAAATTTTCATTTTTTGTGAGAAGAAGCGATATATTTTGATTTTTGGCTTTCAAAATATTATCTTTGACAATTTCCTAAAATTGATATTTCGTATATAAAATGTACGAACTCATACATTTAAATAAAAAACGACAAATGAAAAGGAAATGTTATTACAAAGAAATATATAGGTCTATTCTGTAAAAATGCTCTATAACGCTGTATTTCTATAAGCTATGTAGCACTGTAGAGTAAAAAAGAAAGAGCGAAGAACGAAAAAAAGAAAGAGTTAAAGAGCTACAGAATTACAGAGCTTACAGAGCGAAAATTGTCTTACTGAATACACGACACAATCGGTATTATGTAGTAATATCGCTTCATTACGGTAAAATGAACCCGCATGAGAAAATCATGACAGTATAAAATTATTAAAGCATCAAAGTGAAATATAAAGGCACAATATATATTAGTATTTTTACTCTTATACAATCATTTTATTTAAAAGGATACAATTTTATATTACCTTATTTTTTTATTTTTTATTATTTTTAATATCACATTAATAAAATTTTTGTCACATTTTTTTATCAAGTATCTTATATTTCAAATGAGGTAAATCCTAATAGATAATCCTAAAGGATTATATGCACAACTTATAATTTTCTTTAAATTACTCTATAAGTAATGTACCAATTTTTTTATCAGTACAAATTTATTTTTATATTTTTATATCAATTTAATTTAATATTATTATTGCTTAATTAAACTTAATCTTTTTCAGATCCTTAAGAAACATCACTTATAAAGAAATTGCAATAAGGATATTTCAATTTGTGACCGTAACAATGGGCGAAAAATCATTCAAATGCTCGTTGGTACATTCACAAATCTAACTATCTTTTTTACATCTAATTACAATTATAAATATTTCTTTACAATGTAAGAAGTACATATATACAATACATACATACATACATATACGTATATATGTATATACTATAAAAGAAAATTTCATCGATTCAAACTTTAATGTTTCCTACAAATATGCATATACTTCTAATAATTAACATGAGCGGAACATACATACACAAATTTATATTAAACTTTTATTTAAAGATATTTTATTTTGAAACATAAATTAAGTTAAAAATACATAATAAAGAATAATTAATAAATTTTTCAAAACCATATTGTGTATATACATAATTTAAAAAATTTGCTTTATACACACATATATAGACACATATACATGTGACACATAGATATGAATTATTATTTAAATATAGATTATTAGATTTAATTATTAGATTTAATTATTATTAAAGAGATTTAATTATTAGACAATTTAATTATTATTTAATAACGTAAAATTTGTTAAAAATTTATAAAATTTAATAAAATTTTTAATTTTTTTAATTTCAAAATTAAGTTCTACTTCTATTTTCTTAAGAAAATGGACGTACGAATCGTAAATCATTGCTTTTGTGATCACAAAGATATAATTCGATTATAAAATACTACGACTATATAATTCGAATATAAAAAATATAAAATTTACAAAATTCTAATTATACAAATATTACCGATTTAATTTAATAAAATTTTTTCTGTTAATTGTTTTATTTGTTTTAGTATTTTTTATTTTTCCATTATTTCCATTATTTTTTATATTTCATTCTTTATATATTTCCTTATTATATAGTTTACATATTTAATATTTCTCTTATATTTTATCTATTATATTTTTCTATATGTATTTAAATCTTTCTTATATTGTATTCAATGTTAATTAAATAATTAACAGAAATTTGGGGAATACGCATTTTCGGAAACATATCTTTAGTTCTCTTGATAAATAATAAATATAAATTATGATCACTAATTTATTCGAAAGCAATCAATCAATAAAACTGATAAAGTTTATCTATACATCAAAAATACAAATTAATTTTAAAATATCTAAGTTTTGCAGCTTATTTGCATGTTAAGTAGTAGTGCCGTAGGTGATAATCTACAAAATTCACTTCGGCACAATTACTTTACACGCCAGTGAGCGCGATCGACGTGAAGAGTTTACAATAAAACTTTTTTTAACTAATTTTATATATATATTTTTTTTAAATTTCTAATCTATTTTTTAATTCCTAAATTAAATTTATCGAATTTTACTCTGTTTTTATTTCAGCTTTGATCAATGGAATTGGGCGATTTAATTTGAGATGAGAGCGCGCAATCTTGTCGCAGGATTTGAATGAGGGCCTTACCGGACTGGTGAATAGTTTGATTGATAACAGCTACCCTCTTGTGACGGGAAAAGAGAGGAGAGACAGGATCATTTGTCGTCGGTTGCTGGACTATTCAGTGCCGTGACCGACACTGATTTCAATTGGTAAATTGATTCAGAACGAGTGGGAGAGAAAAAAATGGCAGCACGGAGTGACCGACGATGACGTCGCGGAAACAGGGAGAAATAATGGCGTAATTATTCAAGAATATTTAAGAACTTAAGAAGGGACATGGAAATATGAAATTTGGATAAACAAAAATTACACATTTAAACATTCGTAATATTTTCGTTAATTAAATAAATATTTATAAACTAAAAAATAAATGAATTATTATATATATATATATATATATATATATATATATATACACACATATGCAACACACACATACATATACACAAAGAGAAAAAGAGAGAGTGAGAGACAGGAAAAGAGAAAGATTTTCTTATAATTGCTTAAAAATCTAAAATTTATAATTATGCCATTAATAGAAAGAGAAGGTTTTAAAGGAGATAACGGAATAAGATGGAAGAAAACGTCGGAGAATAACGTTCGCTGTAGCTGTCTCCTCTCTCATTATCGGACAGTTGGTTAATAGGCAGTGAACGCTGTTTGAATGCTTAATGCAGCGCGCATTCTAGGATTAAATTGACCAATCATTTCCCGCGCACACCACAGAGCCAATTGCGCCGCGCGCTTGCGCGTCCCACTATATCAAGCCAATCAACGACATTTATCGCTCAGTTGCCGTCACGCCGCCGCGTTATATGCATCGTGGCAAGTAGTGTTGTGTGAATATATTATATCCACAATCAATCAAGGGCATGAAACGCTTAGTCGCTGCGCGTTTTATTAGTGGAATTTGTTTCTTTTTGCTTTCGTCGCATGAAACCGCGCGAGAATAAAGCTGCAATTCAGCGCATTCAGTGAACGAATGGACAGAGTGAAGAAATGCACGTGAGAAATTTGTTGTATTAGTTTATAATAAATAAAAAGAAACTGTGTTTTGTTGGCTTTAAAAAAAATATAAATATATATATATATTTATTTATTTATGTATTTATTTATTTATAAAGTTTAATTATTTGTTATATACTAAATATTCTCAATTAATTTGAAGTGTCTCGATATTGAAGTTTGAAATTTTGCGTCAAAAATCCGACAAATTTCATTGAATATTTTTATATTTTTTTCATTTAATCTTTATAAGATTTTTCAGATTAATTATAGAATTAATTTATAGTAATATAATTTATAAGACCGATAGAAATACCCAGTAAACACAAAGTAATAGTAATATAACATCAATGTTATAATTTCCCACTTAACAACGTAATTGCAATGTAACTTGCCTTGTACATAACAGTTACATTGTTGAATGGAAAATTATAACATTAATGTTATATTACTGTTACTTTGTGTTTATTGGGAATATACAATTAGTTTTAGAGACTAGAAGATTAAAACATTTGTTATATTTAATATATGTGTAAGTAACATCCTACAAAGACATCTATTTTTATAAAAAATACTTTAAAAGTTTAAAGTTAATTTTTTAAATTAAAATTTTTAAGTAAATAATTTATTAATAATTAAAAATTGATATATATGTAAATATAGATTA